GTGTGTGTGTGTGTGTGTGTGTGTGTGTTCCTCTTTTGCAGCAGAGGTTATTTTCAGTTTCTCTAAGGGAAGTTCATCGTCTCCACGTGAGTCAAACCCACGGTGACTCGTCCTCGGGCTGAAGTAGTGAAACCCAGCTGCTGAATCACGTGACGAGTGATGTGATTCCTGTGCAGTCGATTGTTCACAGTCGTAGAAACAGATTCGTGCGATGATATGAGGCTCGTGTGGTTTTGACAACCTGCAGCGCACCGACTCAGCTCGGCAGTTTCTCCACACGCTCAGTGTTTAATGGTGTTTTTACTGTCGTCCTCGTCTCTGGACCCCCCCTCTTTTTCCACTACGGTCAGATACTGAAACACAAACTCGCTGCCAACACACGAGACAGTCTCAGACTCGTGTTATGTGATCTGGTGTTTCAGCCTGCTTCTTTTTCTTACCCTGTTCGTTTAGCTTTTTCTTCACTAAGTGTTATTTGTGTGTGAATGTAGTTTCAAGCAAAGTGACACTTTTATTGTTGCTATAGAATATTTCAGAGACAGGTTCTAATCTCCGCGTCCACGCCCAGGCGTTGGCTAACACTTCTTCAGAGAGACGGTTGTGCAAGAGGTCTTGTGTTGGAATGTGTCTTCCATAGCGGCTGCACCAGTAGAGAACGTTTTGAAAAGGATGGAAACCTACGAGTGCACGATTTTATGGTGTTTGGCTGTGAAGCCTGAAACAAAAGGTGCTTTCACTAAGACGGAGTCATCTCCCAGTCGTCCTCCCCCAGTCGTCCTCCCGATGAGCTCACTGAGAGTCCACGGAGTTGAAAGGTCCCTGAACTGTGTTTACGCTGATTAATTAACCAGAGAGGAGCCAGAGACAGTTTGACCCAAACACTGAGTCACAGCGTAACTTCATATCCTCATTAACCGACTCACTTGAGTTATTTAGAGTCTTCACGCGGAGCGAAGTCCAGTTCTGTCGGGCTGTCTGCGAGGACGGTGACAACTTTCCGGATGTTCTGACGGCTCACGTGCACAGCAGGACTTCTCGTGGTGCTGCCGCTGGAGAGCGAGGGAAAGTACACGTCCGAGCTCCTTTGTGCTGCTAATAGGCTGTAAGAAAGTCCTCGGCTCGTTATGAAAGTGTGACGGGACAAATTCGACCATGACGGCCGCCGCAGCGTCAGTGATTCATGTGGAACGCCGTTTGGTGGCACAGCGTCACCTCTCTCTGCGCGGCATATTCATTAGTCTCCGTGCAGGGACGAGTTTGTGTCTGAAAATCTTCACTAATAAGCAATTGTCTCCAGTCCAGATCACCCCCCCCCCCCTCCATTCCTCCCCATTACTTCTACCTCTAATGAGTTTAAAAGCCACAGAGACACCTCAGTGAGTTAACTGCAGAGAAACGTGTTCACCTCAGTGAGTCTGCCAGCGAGCTGAGCACCACGCTCATTAAAACATTAGAAACAAACCAGAGGCTCGGTGACGATGTGAAAAGTTGGAGAACGTCCCACGTGCTCCTGGATTAGTGTTATCGGTCGTGTCTCAATGGAACCGAGCCACACCACGGATGAGGCATCAGACTCACGACAGACAGTTCATAAAAACATCGCAGAATTGGAACCAGACATATCTTTCTTTGTTCCCAGCAGCCTCTTCACCCACAACTCGACCTCCTCACCAGAGAGTCCAACACTTTTTACCTTGTGGTTAATTTAACTCTGCGATAAGTCGAGAAGATGAAGCAAGTGAAAGGAAAATCGTGATTCAGAGCCAGAGTCTGTGCAGCAGTGATTGTGTAGTGGAGCCGCGATGTGAGGTCCCACATTTGTGCTCCTGAGTCAGTGACAGCTGTCAGTCATGTCTCAGCCCGTTTTTATTTCATCAAACATATCTGATGGGAAACCTCAACAAACATGAGAACGATGAATAATACACACACACACACACACACACACACACACACACACACAGGTTTCTCTTTGATGTGGCTTTTAAGATGAAAGGTGTTGAATTGTCGGTCGGAGCGTGAAAGTGGTTTTAAATGAGACGAGTTGGAAACGTCTCATACAGTATCAGCACTGTACTCCCACTGTTTCCTTCTGCTGTGGCCTGATTTAATCCACATCGATATGTGTGTCTGTGATATTAATGATCATTCGGGTCTTTTTCTGTCTCAGCTGGACAAAGTGTCCCACTGAGGCTGGTTAGAAATGGACTCAAAGGAAAGTGTGAGTCCTCCGTTGTGTCCCTTTGACGGGACAGGACTCAAGCAGAGACTTGAATTCCTCTTCAACTGAAGCAGTTCTGGAGAAACTTCGGATCAAGACTCCAGATATTCATTAGTCATTAAAAATCCCGGTGGGTCGAGTCTCATTGACCATCGAGCTCAAACGGACGATTTATCACGGTTCTCTGAGTCACTAGACCAAACCACCGTTATCGGGTTTTCAGATTGAAAATGTCTTTCTGCAGGAACGGGATTCTTGAGCGCAGCAGCGTGCGGCTCGATAACGTCTCACACGTCAGCTGATGTTGCTGCAGCAGCAGAATGTGTTTATTGTTCATCTGCAGCGAACGTCACAGAACACGAATGTGTGAGCGTTGTCGTCGGTGACGCTTGAAATGTTCAAATCGGATCATTTCTTAGCTGATACTCAGCGTACGGAATATCATACATGTTAGAAACGGTGAACTTTACAGAGCCAAGCCCTCTCTTCAGGCGAGCGTGACTCACTGTGTGTGAACCGCTTGTTGTTTGAGCGTCGACACTCGTCCCACTGAACTCTGAAGAATCTGAAGTGTGTGAGAAAAACTAATTAGCAGAGTAAACGTGCATGAATCCATGTGAACGAGAGATTTTAAATCTGAAGGAACGACCGGGTGACGGCTGCTAAAGGAGAGGAAGCTGTGTGTGTGTGTGTGTGTGTGTGTGTGTGTGTGTGTGTGTGTGTGTGTGTGTGTGTTCACCAGCAGCCTGACATCAACAGATGCTGCATCATCTGTTGACGTCTAATTAGAAACATAAACACAGTCGGTGAACGTTAGATTTAATCACACGTTCTGTTCTATATCAGATATTCTAACAGCGACACACAACCACAACTCTCCACTAATCTCAGTCTCAATCTGCTGCCACCGACTCGTCGTGCGGTGACATTAATGTTTGTCTGCGTCACTCGGACCTATTTCTGGACTGGTGTTCCCAGGAGTCCTGAGTGTTTGTAGTTGTGCCGCAGTGAGAAATCAGAAAGGTTGGGAGTGAGTTATTCTCACAGTGTGGCCGGATATTTTCAACGGAGCATTTCAAATTAAAATTTCAACAAGACGAGTCAGTCAGCAGCTGCACGAGGTCCCACACCCAAACTGAAGAGTGTCTCTCTGACCTGTAGATTCAGATGTGATGTGGTGGAGGTGTGACACAGTGGAGGGGTCGTCATACGCTCAGGGTCCATTGTTATATTTCGTTTTCACCCGTTCGTTGGTTTGTTTGTGAGCAACAATGCACAGAAACTACAGAAGAGGAAGAGGCCGAAGTTTTAAAACCGCCGAGCGATGACTTGTTGATGAACTCGACTGATTTACGAAGTCGAAGCTCGGTTAACGAGACAACTTCTGATGCTTTGTCTTCTCAGAGAACCTCGAGCCCTCGCCGCTGACCTCAGCTCAGATCAGATATGGTGAGAGATTCTATCTGTCACACACACACACACACACACACACACACACACACACACACACACACATTTATCAGCCGATATTTGACTCTGTAGATAAAATGGGTCAATGAGGCACAAACACACTGTGATTAGTTCTGAATCTTCTTCATCAAAACGATCTCACAGCATTTAAACTAACAAGTTGATTTCCAAAACAATATGATTTACAAGTTGTTAGAAGATTTTCATTTGAAACCTTCATTTTTAATTCATTACAACAGAAAACAGCTCATAACCATCCAGCTGAAGTCTCTATCTGCTTAGTAAGTCATTTATTTCCACTCACCCTGTTCATTAATTCACTTTCTGCTCATTCACAGTTTTGTTCCACAACGCCATCCCCTTTGTTGGATTTGGTTTCCTCGATAACGCCATCATGATCGCAGCCGTAAGTCAAGATATTTACTCGTCTGAAGTGAATCTGATGTTTCCTTCTGATTCCAGCTCAGTTCTCTTGTTTTCTCCAGGGAACACAGATCGAGCTCTCCATCGGAGTCACTCTGGGCATCTCCACCATGGCGGGTAAGAACTCAAAGAGTGGACCGGGTCACTGAAATTAATATTTATCATCTTCAAACACCGAGAGATTCTTCAGCAATGACATGAATCATTTGTTGAAGCACTAAACTGAACACGGATCTATCCCCGTGTAAAGAACACGCACTGAAAACACGTATCATCATTCCTCCTCCATGTTTTAACAGTCGTCAGCAGCCGAACGAATGTTTCTATAAATGTCTTTAATGGACGTCAGCGTGATTTCATTCATCAGTTTGTCCTGTAGATGCACAAACAATAAAGATCCCAACAAATCAAACCGGGACATTTCCAATCTTTCCCCTGACGTTAAACCTGCGGCAGCGCAGTGAATTTACTAGTTACATGTTCCTCCTGTGTTTCTTAAAGAGCTGACGGAGATGTTATCGCTTCCATTCAGGCAGGAAGTCACACACACACACACACACACACACACACACACACACATACACACATACATGGAGTCTGAAAGCACCAGCCGTGATGTCAGCAGCTGCAGAAAAACCCTGAACTGTCTCTTTTAAAAACTTGTTTGCACGAGATCTCATTTATTTCAGCACATCCTGATGTCATCATGGCTGCTTTGCTTTATTACACTGTGAGACCATGAAGGCCTGCGTCTCCATCCTCTCACTTCCAGATTATTCCGTTTCCATGGATACTTGGCTCCAATTCCTTCTGCAAAGTGCAAATCAGAGGCTGAAGTCGGGCTCCAGATCAGTGGCTTCCTTCTCCGTGCAGGCGCCGCTTTGTACTTGATTCATCGGCATCCAGCCTGCGGAGATGATTTTTATTTTACTGCTTCTTCAGCGTCACAGTCGCTGTCGCTGACTCGAGGCCAGATTGTTTCGCTCGTCAAGTTTTTTCTTCTGTGAGTGAAACTCCATCTGGAGTCTGAGCTCCTGCAGGAGAAGAGGGAGCGTCGTCCCTCTGAAGGCAGAACAAACGGCTCCTGAGCGCGATGAGCGGTCGTTACTGTGAACTCCCTCTCCACAGCTCCGTCTCTCAAAGCTGCAGATCTTTGCTGATGTCGTACATTAAGTGCAGTTGTCATGAAGCTGATTTCTGCCGACGGTAAAACCTCGAACAGAAACTCGCTGACTCGCAGCTCGGTGGTTTTCCTGGAGCGGCTCTCTGATGTGAGAAAACTTTCACACCTCGTTTTGTATTTCGCAGCTTTGATCCATTGTTTGGAGTTTTTGGTTTTTCAGAGACGCTCAGTATGTGGGACACAGTTCGTCCTGGAGGATCCTCACTCCAGGCTCTTTAACGTAGAGGTGTCGGGCAGAAGCTGTGAACTCACTGTACACGTCAAATATTAAATTAAATAAATATTCAATAATCCTCCACACACAGAGTTTTGGGTTCAATCCCAACATCAAAATATTGTGTTATTTGTACTGAACAATTGTTAATGGTTCCTAAGTTGTGACAACATGAAACGGAGCTCTGAGGTTTGTCTCCTGTGTTTCTGCAGCTGCAGCTCTGGGGAACCTGGTCTCAGACTTGGCGGGTCTCGGGTAAGAACCGTCTCTGAGGGTTCAGGGTGAACGTGTGAAGTCCACGAACAGCTCATGTCGTTTGTTTGTTGCAAAATAATGAACCGAGGTTTCTTTATCTGGATATTTCTCTTTTTTTGAATTCACCCTCCCAGACTTTTAACTTCTACCTGTACTGTAGTCTTGCAGGTTATGTGGAGTCTCTGGCCACCAAACTGGGGATGCAGGTTCCTGATATGACGCCCAAGCAGGCGGACATGTGGCAGACCAGACTCAGCTCGCACATGGTGAGACTTGATATTTCATTTGTTCACTTTTTTTAGCTGTTTTCTAAAACAGTAAAGACAAGAATCAAACCTTTTGACATTTCTGTGGAATGTTAAATATTTCCTGTGCCACAAGAATAAACAAGCAAAACCAAACCTCCCTGGTGTAAAAAGCTTTTGCTTTATTCTTATCATTCGAATCTCTTTGACCTCAGCTCAGAGAAAACTAAACAAGCCCGACCTGAACCTGACCCCGACCTGACCCCGACCTGAACCCGACCTGACCCCGACCTGATTTAGCATCTGTATTTTCTGTCACGTCTCAGCAGTGATTTGCTCGTTTCCTCAGCTCCTCGTCACCAACACATCTGGATCTGTAGTAAATGTGGTGGTTTGATTCTCTCGTCCTCCTCCTGCAGGGTAAAGCCATTGGCGTGTCCATTGGTTGCATTCTGGGGATGTTCCCGCTGTTTTTTCTGGATGACGAGAAGGAGAAGGAGAAAGAGAAGGAGAAAGAGAAGGAGAAAGAGAAGGAGAAAGAGAAGGAGAAAGACGCACAACCCTGCGGAGACGCCACGTCCTCCTAACGAGCCTCGACAGCTGCACCTACAAACTGGAAACTGCTGATGTCAACAAAGTATTTACAGTGTGATGTTTCTCCGGCTGCACTCACGCTGGAGGCAGTTTGGGAAAATCTGATGATGATGTTTAGTTTTTTGTGGTACCCATTTTCTGCCTCTCACTAAAATCCATTCTTCTTGACGGGGGAACAGTGACGTGGGTTTGATTCCATCATCGATTCTTCACATTCACGTCATCAGACCTCATGTTTTAACTCTGTGGCTCGGTGGTCCAGTGGGTCGAGATGAGGAATCGATGATGAGACACGCTCACCGGCTCCTGTCGACTTCTTCCTAAACATCAGCGTCAGAAACAAACTCGAGATACAAACCAGCTGTTCCGACGGTTGAAACACTATTGAATGCTTTATTCATTTTTTAACTTCTTTTCTATTTGATTGTTGTTTTGTTTTTGATTTACACAATCGACGTCTCTGAAACACTATCTGGTCAATTTGGATCAAAAACACTGAAACTGAATCTTTAAAAGTAAAAACCAACAGGAACAGAATCGTCTGCTACCTCGAGAAATGCTTGAGTTGTTTTGCATGAAGAAGTGATGAAGCTCTACGATCCTCAGATTTAAATGTGTACGTGTGTTGAATAACGAAGGAGGCGTTTGGAAAGTTCTTTCTTTACACTCGTGTTTCAGTATCTGTGTTTTTCTGTCTTTTCATTTTCTCACACAGACACTTAGGTGCATTTCTTTTGAAGCTTGTTTTCTTGTGACTTGAAGCTCCAGATGTTTGAGATTCGTTTCACAGCGTCAGGACACGACGCCTCGAGCGATGTGGAGTCACGTTATATTTACATCCTGTTATTGTATTTAAATCCAAATCAAAGCTGTAACTAATGATTGCGTTGTTGACTGATATGCTGATAAAATTATGAATCGATCGGTTGTTGATTCTTTACAACCGAACTGAAATACAATCGACGATAATATAAAACAGTTTTTTATCAGTTTCTCTTGAACGTGATCAATCACTGAGACTTCGAACTCTCAGGCGCAGTTTCCTGTCGGCCAAATAAACGTGAAAATACATTTCATCGTTATCGAACAGCTGAAAAATACGTCTGACACGAGTTTACGATAATAAAATCTAGGACGGTGAAAGTTCTCGTGTGACCTAAACTTAAATCTAACCTTAGAAAATATCTTCACTTTTTAAATTGCAACAGGAATAAACGAGCCAATGATTGATGCTGAACAGTTCATTGAGGTTATTTCCTTCGCTGGTTCCAAATTGTGAAAAGATTCTGAATTATTTTCTTTGAACAAGTTTGAAAAGTTGACGAAACTTTTTTTCTGGTCTGAAATCCTGTAAAATTTGGGACATTTCCTGCAGAGAGGAGACGTGTTCGTCTGTCGGACCACAAACCTCTGGAACACGTGTGGCTGAATAACTCATTAATCAACAATATGCTGTTTGTTACCATGGAAACCTGAACTTGTATGTTTGTGCTTCATCTCATGTTTTTATTTCTTTTGCTCTTCATTGAGATATTTTGCACAGTTTCATCGTCTGAAGGCAAAATGAGAAAAATACTTTACAGTCAAAGTGCAAAGGGAGTGTTGTTGTGCTGCCCCCTTGTGGACAATGAAGCAGCCGCACTGACATGTTTGTAACAATCGCGTGTGATTAAAGTTTGTGTTTTATTACATGATGTGACAATAAATCTGGGAGGATTCCCCTCTGGCTCTGCAGGTGGCGCTGTGTGTTTTCAGTCATCGCAGGGAGCCTTAGAGCTGTGAGGTCAGAGGTTCATCAGGTGCTTCTCACACACACACACACACACACACACACACACCTCAGTCGGCCTCTTCATCATCAGCTCGAGCTGAAGAAGACTTTGATGGTGTTGTTGTAGATCGTGTTCGCCAGCTCCAGCAGCTCCTCCCCCCTCGCCGCCGCCATCACCTCCAACACTTGTCTGCAGGAGACATTTCATTCGTTAACTCTTTGTATGAGTTTGAATCCCCCGTCCACACAGACTGACTCCTGCGTCACCGTGACGACACTCACATGATGTGACAGGGCTCGTTGCGGTCTTTCAGGCAGTGCCCCGCCTCCCATTTCTTCTTTGTGGGAAATGTAGTTTTGATGTGTTTGGAGCCTGCGTGGGTGTTTTTCACTCCGCACCACGGAGCATCTGAGGAGGAAACAGACCATGATCATCTATTTATTTATTGATTGCACGTCATGATGCTGCTGAAGTTAAACATTTTCTCTTTTATTTCTTCACAAACGTGTTGGAGCTCCAGTAGAAAGCTGATTTTATTCATTCACAGGGTGAAACGTTCTACTTTTACAGGCTGTTGACAGTAATTTATGATTTATCATGTGATAAAAAGTCACATTTTAGGATTTCTGCTGTGTTTGTAAATTAGTTTGTGAATTTAAACGTAAAACATCAGATCAACTCTGGAGTTTCAAACTTTTCTAATCACTTAAACGTCTCGATCACAACCGAGCGGCTGCAGCTCACCTGTTTCTATCATGAGCCTCTCGCTGGGAATCGACTTCATCGCTTCAATATTCGCCTCCGTTTTCAAAGAACTGAAAAATAGAATAATGTTCAATATGGTTCATGTTACATTAAAACTTCAGTGAACTGATATTTAAACTGCCACTGAACAAATTCTTCAAACTAACATCTTGAAATGAAAGAACCCGTCTTTGAGTATTTAACGTCTACTTTGATTTTAGATGCTCCATCTCCCATCTGCTAACATGGAGGAGATTTGGTTTAGGTCAGATCCAGTCTTCACGTTTAAAGGTCCTCTCACCATCCATTTATTCCGATGTAAAGGTCCAGCTCAACGAGAGCAGCAGCGTCTTCGGCCGTCCCATCGAACGAGTGAACCTGGAGGAACCAAAATCACATTCAGTTTTCCGTCTCTACTGAGATTTAACATCGTGAATAAAGAAGCAGCGTCCTCACCACTCCCCCGACACATCGGTCTCGATTTCTCTTCATGACGTCTGACAGAACAAGAACAGAGAAACAAATGTGAACAATCACTCGTCTGTCGGAGGCTTAAATCCAAAGACTAAATCTTTTTGATAAGAGAAACTCTCGGGACGTTTTCTCTCCAGAATCTGAAGCTTCATGTTTGTTCATAGTTTTAGTTTCACGTTGTAATTTAGGGACTGAAGAAGTTTCTCTAACAGACAGAAGAGACGGATGTACAAGAAGAGATGAGTCTTCAGGACAAGATGAAGACGGACACTCCCGCTCTGAGCTGCAGACAAAAACAGTCTGGACTGCGAATGTGTGCAGGGAGTTTGCAGTCAGTCAGTCGTCGTCTGTGTCTTCGGTGGTAGACGACGTCTCTGGGGGACGAACCTACCGATGAACTCCTGATGGGAGTTCCTGCAGTGGAGGAACATGGGCAGCTTGGTTTCCTCCGCCAGGTCAAACTGCTTCTCGAAGTATCTGCGACAGACGGACGACAAAACGTCGGGTTGAATCTTCGCTCCGAAGATTTGACGAAACTATTGACTGAGTGAAAACTTACTTCAGCTGAGTTTCTTTTGGACAAAACTCCAACCTGTCAAAATCTGGACCAGAGAGCAGAGAGACACAACTGATGACAGCATCAACACGTCAGTGCACAACAGAGGGTCACAGTTTTCATACTGCGTGTGTGTCTCTGTGTGTGTCTCTGTGTGTGTCTCCGTGTCCACACCCAGTCCACACTCTCCGACCGCCACCACCTTCCCTCTGCCTGCCGCCGCCAGCTCCCTCAGCCCCGACAGGTACTGGGATTCTCCGCTCTGCTCGAACTCGCCGCAGCGGGTGGGATGGCAGCCGACCGTGCAGCAGAACTCGTCTGCGAGAGGAAGGAGCGCGGTGAGCACACAGAAAAAGATTCTCGTCTCTCGTTGTCCCTCGTGAGCGTCTGACGTCCTCACCTCTGCTCTCCGCTAACTTCAGGGCCTGTTTGCTGTCGTCCAGGTTTCCTCCTGTGATCATGAACTGGAGACAAATAATCAAATAAAGTGGTGCGACCAGACCGTCCCGTTTCTAAACACGTCCCTTCGTCCCAGAGAAACGAAGGCTCCGACGTGAGGTTCCTCCTCGGCCCAACACGTCCCAGAATTCATTGCACTTTGTTGACAAAGACGAGACGTCTACGTGGCCCAAGAAGACACTAAGTTTAGACTCTTGTCTTAATCGCCCCCTGGTGGCTGGCTGCAGTACAGGTCATAAAAGCTCCTCCATGTTAGCAGATGGGACACGGACCAAACAAGAAATAAATTAAAGATGGTTTCTGTTGTTTTAGGAAATTGTTTGTTTCTGATCAGTTTGGTTTTAATTAGTTATTTGACGATATATAAAAACAGGTTGAGACGTCCTGACCGAGGAGGACACACCTCGTCCATCTTTATTTACATTATTTAGAGAATATATATATATTTTGTGTTTGGATACTTCTCTTACCTTCTCCACTCCAACTTGGAGAGCTCTGTCGATGATCTGGCCGAAGTCATCTGTCAGAAAAACACAGCGGCACAAAGATTAACGTAGAACAAGAAGACAGACGGAGGAGAATGTCCTCACCGTGGTGTTTCTGTTTCCCTCTGTAGAGACCTCTGAACATGGGGTCAGTCAGGTTCACACCGATATCTGAGGAGGGACACGTCAACAAGGTGTCACTGATACAGAACCAGAGTCAGAAATACTTTATTATATCTCCTGAGCAAGCGATGAACAGCAGCTATACAGTACGAGTGAGGGCGAAGCAAAAAATGCAGCGTAATCAAAATAAATTATGATTATTATTATAAATAAACAAGAAGACACAAGTAAAAAGTAAAAGATGAGCATAAGTAGAAATAAATCTGCAATTTGGATCAACATGTAAATTAAGTATAAACAGCTTATTTACAAGTTGTCATAATACAGTTTGAATAAAGTGATTCTGATACAGATCCAGGACATATACAGATCCAGGACATATACAGATCCAGGTGTTCTATGTGATCAGTGACAAACCTCTGTCATGTCTCCTGGTTAACTGGTTATATTTTACAAAGCTAACTGGTTAGCTCCCGTGTTAACTGGTTAGCTCTAATGCTAACTGGTTAGCCCCCGTGTTAACTGGTTAGCCCTCGTGTGAACTGGTTGAGTTAATCTGGATCTCACCGATGAACCTGAGCTCAGACATTTTGATTCTTCTCAACACACGTGCAGCTCTGACACATCCCATAATGCAACAGCACCGTAACCCCTGTAGCAGACAGCTTGGTCTTATAATACTGGTCCCAGTGTTTCACACTCTTTATAAACAGTCTATGGTTTCACATCGTCATTGATTAACGATAAATGCGATAACAACAATAACATCACGAATAAAAACACTTATTTATTCTGGAGACAAAAACATTTGATGCCCACAAATTCTCCTCATTTTTGCATTTTATTGTTTTAATTAAAGCCTGATGAAAATTAAATCTCTACACCCAAACGTTATTATTATATAGTTTAACTTTCTGATAGAAATACAATTTAAAAAAACCACAAATATACGAACATAACATATAAATAAATAAAATATGTCTGCGTGTTTGTACATGTTTTACGGTCCTGGCGTCATAAAGTCCCAGAATCCCCCGCGCCGCTCGGACAGAAGGTGACAGGGAAGATGGCGGCGGCCTTCCTGACCCACCAGCAGAAAGTGCTGCGGCTCTACAAGAAGTCTCTGAGGCACCTGGAGTCCTGGATCATCTTCAGGTGAGAGCAGCGGCTGCCCGGGACTCGAACCCGAAACCTTACAAGGATTCACTCTTCAACAGATAGCGGCTGCACCGCTAAGCCAGCCTCTAAGCTAACAGCTAAGCTAACAGCTAACCAGGTCGGTCAGTGAGAAGTCGACCTGTTTTCACATGTTTACTTTTGCTTCGTTCATCCGGGCACGAACATGAAAACACACGAGGATTCACGATCCGAGGTTAAACACCAGTTTGTCTTTTTCACGTGCGCATTTACCTGAAGTCGAAATCTGAGGAATCACAATAAAGAAAACCCTGAAACCAAACTTGTGTGTGAGTGAGTTCATCCAGTGTCAGTGAGTTTGACTTCATTAACTCAGATGATTCTGTGTTTCCTGATTCTCACCACGTTGACAGCTTCCGTTCATTCAGACGAAGATTATCGATGCATGTTTAGTTGGATCTCTTCAGGGTATTTGAAGAAGTGGCCTGCCCTCTGTCCTCTGAATTAACAGTTCAACCTGTTTCATTTTGATCATCTGAAGCATTTTAACTTATTTATCCAGATAAACAGAAATTCACATCAGTTCTAACGTAGTGTGTGAATATGGACTTTTGAGACCCAGTCAGAACAATCTCAGCTTCCTTTATATAATAATCTATAATTATTTGTCTTTTCCCCTCACAGAGACTCGTACCGGTTCTACGCCTGCCTCCTTCGGGCTCGCTTCGATGAGAACAGGAACGAGAAGGACCTGGTGAAGGCCACCATGATGCTGAAGGCGGGAGAGGAGGAGTTCTGGTCCAATCAGCATCCTCAGCCCTACGTCTTCCCGGACTCTCCTGGAGGAACCTCGTACGAGAGATACGAGTGCTACAAGGTGAGGAGAGACATTACGTTACAGAGCATGTGTTATTTTTAATTGTTATAGTTTTCTCCTGTACGTCATTTTCTTTCTTCTTATCTTCTTTCTTCTTATCTATTTTATGACCTGACCACTGAGACAAAATGATCTAATAACAAAAAACTGTTGATTGATTTTTGTCAGATGACTGTTTGTTCAAGGCTGCAATAAAGTTCTCACTCCTGATCCCTAAGCTTCAATTTCAGTTGCATTAGATTTTTGATTCATATTTTCTGTGATACTAAAGACGGAGTGATATTTAGATTGAAATAAGATTCAACAATGATACAGATATTAATGTGTGCTGCTTCTGCTGCCCCCTGCTGGACGTCAGACAATATTAGCTCAGTCCCTGTTGTAAACGTGTTTGTCTGAAATGTTGTGTTCTTATTATATTATATATTAAAAGTGTGTGTTGTGTTCTTATTATATTATATATTAAAAGTGTGTTGTGTTCTTCTGTCCTGTGCTGATACTTCAGAATTATTCCTCGTCATTAAAGAGTCGTCCTCAAACACTTCTACATAGTTCTGTCACTTTTGATTGTTTGTGTGCTGAGCTGTTTATACACAGTCTATGGTGCAGAGTGAAGTTGGAGAACTGTGTGTTCATCCTACCTGGTTTATCTGCAGTGAAGATTTAATGGTCAATGTTTTTCATCAAGTTGAAAATGAGTTTTCTTTACCGCTGTTCACGTGTGTGGTTTATTAAAAGTCTGAATGATTAACTGAACTGATGTTATTGTTTCATACATGTCGACTATTTCAGAGTCAGGAATCTGCTCCTGTGAATGTCTGTCTCATTCTGTTATGGTGAATTAAAAATCCTCAGGTTTTAAAAACCTCAGTGTTGCATTCAACCAAACTTGACGATCGTCCTGAGCTCTTTTTTCTTCCATCAGGTTCCAGAGTGGTTGCTGGACCACTGGCACCCGTCTGAGAAGGCCATGTATCCTGATTACTTCTCCAAGAGGGAGCAGTGGAAGCAACTGAGGATGCAGAGCTGGGACAAAGAGGTGAGCGCAGCACCTGCACATTTTACTGTGATTTAAACCGTCATGGGTTACGAGAGGTTAACGAGACATTCAACTTCATAACAAAATATTCTGCCTTCCCCCCCCCCGAGCTTGGCGAATAAAAATAAAAGCACAACTCAAGTTTTCACATTAATTTTCTCAGAAGAAATTAAGCTACGGGGGCAATTTATCAAGAAGTAGAAGGTCTGAAGGTGGTGAACCTGAACAGAGCTGTGCACACAGGGATCTTTGTTTCTTAAAACTACATCCCACATAAGGCTCTACGGTGCAGCCTCTTCGTTATGAGACGCTATATCAGTAATTTTGTTAATATTAAAGCCAAATAAAGAATTCACAGGGCCACACATCTTTCTGCGATTCTGGAAAGCTGTTCTCAGACTGTAGAAACTCGGGTTTCCGTTGAGTGTTGTGAATAACTTGCACAGAAGTTCACACAGCTCGTGTAGTCAGGACAAAGGACGCAATAAAATCAAAGATAATAATGTTACCCACAGTTCAACTCATGAACAGAGTCAGTGGTGGAGAACTTTGTTCCACTCGCCTGCGACGCAAAGATATTCCAACATTTCCTTTTGAAAGGCTTCAGCTCAGCAGGGTAACGTTCTAATAAACCCACTAGGTGGCGCCAGAGTGTTTCTGACAGATAGTTCAACCCTTTCAGTGCAAACACAGAATCACTAAACACTCTCCTCACTGCTCATATTGTCTATGAACGGATTCTGGTCCATAAACTGGGATCTGCTGAAGTAGATGTGTTATGATCATTTTGCAAAAAATATTATTTCACCAATAAATTGTTAAAAATGAAAATATGTATTAATACCCTGATTCTCACTCTGTTTAATTTAGAAAACAATTT